GCACAAATGTCCTCATAAAAAAACCTTTAAAAAAAAAAAAAAAAAAAAAGTAACTCCGAGCTCCCCAGTGGCTGAGGAGAAGAGTGAAAACAGATCCAGGCCCCAATCCACTTTGGAGAAAACACCCCGTGTTCTGGAGAGACGCCCTCTGGTGGCTATCATTTCCTACCTGGAATCTCCACATTTATCCCATCAAGATTCCTCTGCCCTCCCTTCACGTCCCCTAGGCTGGCATAGCTGTGTCGTCTGTGCCTTTACAGTTTCTAGATCTCACATGTCCTAGAATCTTCCTTCTTCAGGCAGAACTTTTATTTCTTTTTTGAAAGTTCGTTTTGAGGGGCAGCAGGTGGCATGGTGGTTAAGGCTCTGGATCCCACATGGCCAGCTCTGTGGTTTGAGTCCCAGACCCAGTGACCTGAAATACACTCCAGGAATGTGTGTGCATGCCCCAAATCCCGAGAGAAGAATGGAGGAGAAGGGGTTGTAACATGGTCACCCCCTGGGGGGGTAATTTCTCACTTTCCCTTTCTCTCTCTCTCCAGCTAGCGCATGCACCCTCTGGCAAAAAGTCTAAATGAACAAACAAAATCCCATCTCGGGCTTGCCCAGTCGCACTGTGATTAAGTGCTGTGTTTTAGAAGCCAGATTCACATGGCTGACCGCAGTTCAGATCCCACCCTGATGGCCTGAACAGCTCACTGGCACATGTGTGTGCCCAGAATCCTGACAGGAGGGAGGAATAAAGGCAGAGGGATTGCATCATGACCAGGCCCCACCGGGAGGCTTCCTCTCCATCTCAGGCATCTGATCTCTGGCAATATTATAACAGGTCAATGAAGAGAAATAAGTAACAAGCCGTCCCAGCCTCCTGGCAAGCAATGAGATCTGGAATATTTGTTGAAGAGATGAATAATGAAGTCCTGGGTCCGCGCAGTAACAGCTGTCTGTGCCTTTCACCACGCAGAGGTCAGAGATGGGGACCCCCCACCCCCCCCACACACCATTGTAGGGGAGGAGAGCAGAGGCAGAGGGTGGGGCTGGGCAGACCCAGACTTCCTGAGCTGTGGTGGGGAAGAGCTTCCCCACCAGCTGCGGGGATGTGGGCTCTGGGCATCTGGCTTACAGGCTGCAACCCTTAGGCCAGAAGCTGCAGGTGCAAACTGGGGCAGGGAACAAGGCCCCAGGTGAGGGGCACAGGTAGGCCAGTGTCCCCATCTTTCCGTATTCCTCTCCAGCCTTCCCGGCGGCTTTGGGGCTGAGCTGCTAGGGCTGACTGTGTGCTGGGCTGTGCACGGTCTGTCCTCGCCCTCCCTAGGGCTCTCCCTAGGTGAGTCATGGGCAGAACTGTCTGGGGGCAGGCAAGGGGCTCAGAGGAGGCTTCCCCTTTCTGGTCTTGGCTTCCCCATCTCGAAAACAGCGACCTACTGATACCAGGTGGAGGCCGTAGGTTCAAGGATCACTTAGAGAATAGTTTAGTAAAGGCCCTGGCACACAGTGGGTTCTCAAAAAACAGTGGAAGCTTCTCGAGGTGTCCTTCTTTGACAGGTGCCGGGCAGAGACCCAGCGCAGTGCGGCGATTTTGTCCAAGGTCGCAGCTGGGCCCCAATCCGACCCCGGCGTCTTGACTCCAGGGGGCCGGGGTTTGTCTGGAGCCGGTGTGGGGACAGGCTGTTTGGAGGAGCGGACGCGGGCGTGGGTGGCCAGGGACTGCTATTTTGGAGCGGAGGAGAGGAGCGCGGTGCGCGGAGGGGGATGGGCCCGCTCCTGGCTCCCTGCCCCCCAGTCACCTTCCTGCGACCCTTCCCGGGAGGGGCGTCCCAAGGGGGTGGGGACAAGTGGGAGGGGCGGGCGGTTACCTCATCACCGCCTCCGGGGGGGCTCCCCGCTCGCTTGCGGCGCCGGCTCGGGCGGCGACTCCGGACGCCAGAACAGAGGACAGAGGGACAGAGGGACAGAGGTGCCGAGACACAGCACCGCCCCCTGCGCCGCGCGCCGCTGCGAGACCACCGCGGCGAGGAGGTCGGACCTCGGGACCTCGCGCCGCCGCCGGGGCCCCCCGTCCGCGCTC